TGCTCTCCCTTTGGTTGGTGTCCTGTTACTGCAGTAGACTGGCAGACCTGCCCCCTGACGCCTTACTACAACCTAAGCTCCCTACCTCTCTCAGATTTTGTTGGTTTTCCTGCCACCATTCTTCCGTGAACCAGCCAATCCAGAACCCCCCACTGAGTTCTCTTTTAGTGTCCCCTGGTGTGTGACACTTCCTTGGACCCTTCTTGTGTTCTGTGACCTTGACAATTTTGAGGCGTGCTGACCAGCTGTTTTGCTTTTGCGTTTTCCAACTTTGTTTCCATTTGAGACCAGGATGCTGAGAGGCTGTGCAATGTCAAGGTCCAGCTCAGAACGCAGAAGTCGGGTCAGGGAGTGACTGAGTTTGAATCCTGGCTCTGCCCCCAGCCCCGCTAAGTGACAAGAGCCAGGAAGCCTGCCCTGCCTCGGTTTCCCCACCCTCACAGAAGAGGCCTGGTGAGCTGCTGGTGAACTCGTGTTCTTGGAGGTCCCTGTGGGATCCTGGAGGGACCAGTTGCCCTGAGGTGTTCACTTCCTCTCCCAGGAGCTGGGCTGGGAAGTGCAGAGGAGGGGAGAACGCGGTGTTGCAGGAGGCTCACACTTTACATGGCTTTGGGAGATGATGTCCTAAATTGGTCCTCTCGATAATTCCTTGATGTAGTAAGATGGAATCTCCCCTGTCGTGTGGATAAAAAACCGGAAGCTCAGGGGTCAACAACCTGGGGAGTTCACAGAGGAAGGAAGGGCCTTGAACCTGGACCTTGGTGGCCAGAATGGGCAGGCAGCCCTGGGCGGTGGCAGGTAGGGCCTGGATCCCAGATCCTGGGCTGGCAGGATCTGTTGTGTGTGCCTGGCTGGGCAGACACATGGAGACTCGAGAGTTATGGATTCCCAGCCGCTACACGAAGTATTGATCTCAGGCCATTGTGCGATAGCCAGTGTTTCATTTTGTAATGTAGATTTTTTCCCCCTTAGATGATTTCACATTTAACCCTTAAGTTACCTGGGAAACCAACATGTGCCAGTGAACCAATCTAGCCTGGCACCTGGCTTCCCAGGTGGGTCTCAGACCAGAAGGCCAACTGTCCCGCTTCCTGCTCGGGGCATCTTCAGGCCCCTCCAGATGGCCAGGGCTATCTCTGTCTTCCAGAAAGGGAAGTAGAATGACATACCTGAGAGCCTGAATGACAGTCTTGGAGCTGTCGCAGAGACCCAGCGCCCTCTCTGGGCTTGCTCTCCAGGCAGCGAGCACAAGAGCTCAGAAGACACCTCATGCTCTTGGTTCTATCTTTAAGCCTGAGATGTAAACTACAAAATGCGTTCCACCCTCGTCAGGGAGCTGGGAGCCACAGCTCTAAGTGTGCAAGCTAATAGTTCTTATCCTAGGGGGACAGTACGTGTGCGCTTATGTGTGTGTGTGTCAGAGAGAGAGACAGACAGACAGTCAGACTTGTTAGTTCAATGTACTGTGAGGACAAAGAACAAAGAATTTTGGTGCTGAGGCTGGAAGCCAACACTTTCCCTCAGTTGGACCAGAGCACATGGGCTCCCTGGGGCCTCTGGCTGCTGTGCACTTGACATTGGGAGTTCCCATTCCACCCACTTGGAGCTCTACCCCCACCTTCCACAGCTGTGTGCACAGAAGATACAGCCCCAGCCATGCCTCTAGCTCTCAAGGACATGCTTCTGCCTGTCCCCTATCCCCGAGGTGTGCCCAGGTTTGGGGGCCTGTGAATGGCCTGGTTCTCCCCAAGCAGCAGCCCTTGCCCGCACCCACCTTTGGTCCTTTTGGACACCTGTGACTGGAGGCCACGCCTGGGGTGGCACAGAGAAGAGTGCTCAGGCCCGCTTAGGCGCACTTTGTGGCTGTCCCTGGCCTCAGCCCCTCCTCCCACCTGGATCCACGGGAAGGAGGACCAGACCCCTTCTCCTCTGACCTCTGCCAGGGAGGTCTGGCAGGAAAGGGAAAAAGGAAGGGGGCTTCTCTAGAGACGGCTGTCCTCCGGCTGTTCACTCCAGTGGGGACAGGAGTCCAAGTCACCAAGCAGCTGCACGGCCCAGTGCTGCAGCCTCTGGTGCCTAGGTTGATTCCGTCTGTGACGCTGGGTAGACTCCAGGGTCCACAGAGCAGTGGGACACCAAGGCCTGATGCTCAGGCCCCAGGAGGATGCTGGGTAGCCTAGGCGGGTCAGTGGGACCCACCTGCAGTCACAGGGCTTTCCCAGCAGATGTGTTGGGAAGGGAACCCCTGGTCACCACCCCTTCCTGCACAACTGCCCTTCCAGTCTCTCATCTCCCCTCTCCCCGGCAGCAGCTGTCCCCACCTGAGTCACTTGGGCCACAATCCCTCCTGTGCTGGTGGGGGTGACTCCACCTCTCCAGCTCGTGGCAGGGTTGTGCTGTTACCAGCAGCCTCTTGGAGGGAAGAAGGTCGCATTTGTGAGCAGTGATTGAAATGCAAAATAACATTTTGATCGAGCCAGCAGGCTGTTTATTTATCAGATCAATAGTCAACCACCCCTCTGGAGAAGTCAGTGTGATAAGTGACGCATTGCCAAGGGCAGCCTTGCAAATCCAGCCCCTCCCCCAGTGGCTGGGATTAAGGGAGGGCCACGGGGCCTGGCAGTGACCCCAGCTCTGCTTTCCTGTGTCCACGGTGAGCAGGTACATGCTTTCCCTCATTTTCTTCTGATACCCAGTTTCCAGAGGGCAAAGTCAGTTTACGACTGATTCCCGGAGAGTAGATGCCAAAGCCCAGGGTTCAAGCCCAGAGACTGCCGTCCAGGGGCCTCCCCGCTGGGCTCTGTTGGTCTTTTCGAGGGCAAGGAACAGGAGGTGCCCGGTCTGAGCCAGTCCTGCTTCCCACAGGTTTTCATGCATCCCGTTGACTTTGGTGTTAAAATACCTTTTCTTCTCCTTCTTCTTCCTCTTCTTCTCCTTCTCCTCTTCCTTCTTCTTCTTTTCCTCCTCCTTCCTCCCTCTTCTCCTTGGTCATCTTCTTCTTCCTCTTCTCCTCCTCCTTCTTCTTTTTCCCACCTTTTAAACCAGATTTCTCCAAAAATGACTTTCAGGCCCTAAGTTCTCTCAGTTGCTCTCCAAACACATGACATGGTTTTGAATGCTTTTTTTAAAAAAGAAAGAAACCAGGACTAGTGGTGCACACCTGTAATCCCAGCAGTTTGGAAGGCTGAGGCAGGAGGGTTGTAAGTTCAAAGCCAGCTTTAGTGCGGCCCTAAGCAACTTAGCCAGAATCTGTCTCAAGATAAATAAATTTTAAAAAGACTGGGATGTGGCTCAGTGGTTAAGTACCACTGGGTTCAATCCTTGGTACAGGAAAAAAAAAAAAGAGAGAAGAAAAAAGAAAACCCAGTAATTAAGGAAAATCCATACATTGTAAAGTATTTAACCAGGATTACTGGAATTCGATAGGAATGGATTTCAAGGTTGATTCCTTAGTCACTCTCCCAGGGACAGTGGACCCTGTGTCTCTGGACTCTGCTCCTGGGGTGCTGGCTGGCTCTCCTTCTTGAACTCTGGCCTGGTCTTGTTACTCAGGTCTGTCACTGTCACATTCTGAGCGGGTACTGAGCGTTACCTGACGTAAACTCTCAGGCCTCCTAACTCAGCTCTTCAAATACTTCTTGAGCACCTGCTGTGTGTCTGTGGGTACTCTAGATCCTAGACTAGAGCACAAGAGAGACCAGTCCCCATGGATGGGGAGTAGAGCCCCGGGGTAGGGCATGATTAGCGCAGCCAGGAAGCAGCTGGGGTGGTCTGGGGCGCAGCTCAGGGGTACAGCACCTGTTAGCCTGCAGGTGACACTGGGCTCACTCTCCAGCCTGGGGAAAAAAGAAAGGAAAGAAAGGGGCTCTGGAGGCTGGGATACATAGATGGTGCCTCCCCTACAAGTGGTTGAAGGAATTGGTGATGTCATCCAGAGTCCCAGTCCTTGCGCAGAACAAGCCCTTCATTTGGGGACACTAGTATCCTCCTTACTGAGATCAGAACCAGATTCTTGGTTGGCTGCAGTGACAGGTCCCCACCTGTCCCAGCTGCTGCTCAGCACAAAGACTGAGAAATGGACGCAGGATGAGGAAAGGATGCTGGGAGCCCCAAGCGTCCTCTGTCATCCCTGCTGTGCATCCAGCCACATAGAAGGGGTCACAGGCATGTGACCTCATGGAGATCAAAAAAACATGAGACACCTGAACTGCCGGTTCCACCCTGGGCTGCAGAAACAGAAGTCTAGAACCAGTCAGAACTGGCCTGGGGGGGCGGGGGCGGGGGCTCAGTGACACAGCACTGGCCTAGCAAGAGCAAGGCCCTGGTTCCAGCCCCGCACCACAGGGGGAGTGGAGCAGGACTTACCTGGAGACCTGTGCTCAGTTCTGATGCTCCTGTTTGGACAGAGAAGATGGATCATCCTCAGTGACCCTAGAACGGTGGCCCTTGTGATCAGGGAGTGGGAAGCTGCTCCGGCCCTCTGGCAGGCTGACTGCGGAAGGGGTGAGACTTATGCTGTGGAGTTGTATGAACTCTAGCTGGAGGAGAAACAGTTTGGTTCTTCACCAAGCACTTTAGTTTTTAACTTCTACCGTTGTGGCAGGGCTGGGGATTGAACCCAGGGCTTGACACCTGCTAGGCAGGCGTCTCCCCTTGACTAGATCCATGGCCCACAAGGCACTGGAAACGAAACCCCAGAAGCTGAGGTATCTAAAGCTGCTGCCCCCTGGCCCTGAGGTCCCCTGTCCCAGGGTCCTCCTGAGGCAGGCGGCCACCTGGTTGGGAGGTGGTGAGAGGGGCTGAAACCTGGGATAAGATGGCCTAGAGGCTCAGAGGTCTTGGCTGCCTGAGGCCCCTGGCTGGATTGGCCCTGCCAGACCCTCCCTCTTCTCTCCTCCCTCTCCCTCCCCCCCCCCAGAAGCCTCCCAGTTCTTTGGCCCCTCCCCCTCTCAGCCCCTCCTTGGAGGGGCTCCTGGGACCATGCTGTCTGGATCCCCCACTGTCACCCTGTGTCCTCCCCTGCTTTCCCGGGTGGCCCTGGGCACTGACTGACTTTATACCCCTGGAGGATTCCTTGTCACAGCAGAGTGGGCAGCGCCGACTCTTACTCTCCACACCTGGGCACAGAAGTTCCTATTGCTCAGGTAACATTTCGGTGACGGTGTTTGGCAGGAGCCTTCTCATGAGGCGGTTCTGGGGCCTTCCGGTTTGTGGTTCTGCCATCTTCCAGGGCCTTGGAGTCCCCAGAGGGCTTCCAGGGACCTGCAGATGGAGGGGTTGCAGGAGGTAGAGGGGCAGAGCAGTCTGAAATGTAGAACTGGCTTTCCTGAGGCAGGGACCTGGGCACCTGGACCACAGGTGTATCCCCAGGGCTGGAGCAGGGTCTGGGTGCAGCAGATACTGGGACAGGACCTGAAGGTATGAGCGAGCCAGCGAGAGGGCGAGAGGGCGTGAGCTATTCTTTTGGTTAAGTAAGCCCCCTCCTGTGAACTAAGGCACCAGGGAACCGCCCATGCTCACTCGGCTGAGCACAGGCACTGCTTGGCTTCAGGGCTACTGGCGGCAGCAACTGAGGCTCTAGAACATTCTGCCTCTGACCCTTGCTCTTCTCTGCTGCCAGCTTCCATATTCTTCCTCTCACCGCACACTGGTGGGACACATGACTTGCTCAGTTCTTGAGCTCTCTGCCTTGCTGCTTCTGCCCCCAGAGAGGCAGCCCTGGCACCAAAACCTCATGGGAGGGACCGATTGTCCTAACTTGGACATCTGTAAGAATCTGGCAATTCCTTTGAGTATGTATGTGTGTGTGGGGGAAGGACACCCCTTTTGCCTGAAAAGGGACTTCCTTAGTGGAAGTGCCTGCTACCTGGGGGGATGGGTAGATGCATGGGGGGCGGGGGCGGGTGGAAGATGGGAGGAGAGAGGGAGGAAGAGTGTTTCTTGCTGGAAGACTGAACTTTTTAGAGACAGTAAGCAGAAGCCATCTCCTTATTACCCAAAGGGGGTGTGAGAACACCTGCTGGAATTTACTGAGTACTTTATGTTTTCCAGGCACTGTCCTAGGCTCTTTTCTGTATTAACTTGCTAATTCTCAAGACCACCCTGAGAGAGGCGTAGTATAATTCTCATCCCCATTTTACAGAAAAAGAAACAGAGGCACTTTCTGATTCAATAACCCAGTTCATAAGGGGCAGAACTGGGATTCGAACCCAAGCAGTCCAGCTCTACACCAAGCCACATAGCCCAGCCCCAGGGCCCTTGTGAGAATTCAATGCCATGTGCAGAATTCACTGTGGAGTCTGTTCAAGGACAATGGGGGGACGTTGGTGCCACCCCACTGCTTGACATAGGGGGCAAATCAAAGCAGGTAGAAGAAGAGGTGCCACATGCCTGTAATTTCAGAGACTCGGGAGGCTGAGGCAGTAGGTGAGCAAGTTCCAGGCCAGCCGGCAGCTTAGCGAGATCCTGTCTCAAAATATATATAAGAAGGGCTGGGGATGTAGCTCAGTGGTAGAACACCCCTGGGTTCCATCCCCAGTTCTGGGAAGGAAAAAAAAACAAGAGGAGGTGAGATAAATTCCCAGATGGCAGATCTCCTGCAGCATCTGAATGGGAGGACCCAAGGGGTGTGTTGGGAGCATATTCTGAACTTTGGACGCTCTCCTTCGCCCTCACATACCTCTTTGAGATGGTCAGACCCAGAGCTGGCTGAGCCAGCTGAAATAAGAGCCCAGGAACTTTGGGGCCTGGCATGGGGGCACTGACTGAGCGGACCCACGTTTCAAAGGGCCAGCAGAGGCCGTCTGCAGGCTGGGGACAGGACCCTCCCTGCTGTCCAGGCAGCCACTCCACATCCAGTCATCTCTTTCTGCTTCAACAGCCTCTCTCTTCTCATTATGATGGATGCAGCCTGGAAAACCGTGGATAAAAAGCCCTGATGGAAAGACACTAATTACCCATCATTATTTTCCATGCCGTAATTTGTGTGGAACGAGATTTCCATCAGTTGTCCGGGATCAGCCTGGTTTTGACTAATCTTTCTGACGACAAGATGCTTAATTACAGATATTTGCCAGAGTTCCAGCATGCGCAGAGGGAGGCCAGCACTCTCTGGAGCCACAGAGCTGGAGGGTCATTTTGTAGCCTTGGCCCCTGGGGGCCCCCAAGGGAGAAAAAAGAAAAAGAGTTGTAGGAAGTTAATTCCTGGGCTAGGTTGGGTGAGGCCCTAGGTTGGATCCCCAGCACGGCAAAACAAATAAACAAAACAACAACAACAAAAAAGAGCCGGGTGCAGGGGTACAATCCCAGCTGTTCAGGAGGCTGAGGCAGGAGGATTATGAACTTAAAGCCAGCCTGGGCAAGTTAGACTCACAATTTTAAAAAAAGAATGGGGGATGTGGTTCAGAGGTCTAGTGCCCCTGAATTCAATCCCTAATTTCAAACAAAATAAACAGAAAGATATTCCCAAGGGGGGCAAATAAAATCAAACCATCACCAAAGGAAGTGTGTTAGTGGCCACCTGGCCAGGAGGGTGGGGGTGGGGGGGCTGCTTGGTATGTCAGCTCATCCTCCTGGGCAGGTCCCCAGCTCAACATTTCTAAACTCCAACCAACCTCCTAGGTACCCCCCAACACTCTGACTCTCTGGTTAGTGACTTTGAGCAAGTCAATTTCAATGTTTCAGGATTGGCAGAAGGATCTTTGAGAACCTAGGATTTACTGGCTCTCACTGTACCAATGTGTCCTGCAAAAATGTTATCTAGTGTGGAAAGTTGAAAGATATATAGGCTAGATTTCAATCACATAGAAATGATTTAAAAAAAAACATTATTAGAATAAGCCATTCAGACTACCAAGGGGAAAGATTAGTTGAAATTAATGAAATTTCTGAGTTATATAGCCGGGTGTGATGGTACACACCTGTAATCCCAGCAACTCGGGAGGCTGAGGCAAGAGAATTGTGAGTTCAAAGCCAGCCTCAGAAACTTAGCAAGGCCCGAAGTAACTTAGTGAGACCTTGTCTCTAAATAAAATATAAAAAGGGCTGGGGATGTGGCCTAGTGGCTAAAAACCCCTGGGTTCAATCCCTAGTACCAAAAGAAAAAAGACATATATAATTAGTGGGCCTCAGTGCACAGAATAGCATCTATCGTAATGCTTGGTTCACATCATGTCTCATCTTTGGGCTGTTCCCTGTTTCCCTCCCATGTAGTAAGTGCCCCAGGAATACATGTCCAACAGGAAAGCTGGGACCTCAATAGGGATTCACATCTTGCTACGTGGTTATCCTGCATTTTAAATACTAATTTTTTGTGGGGGCGGGGGTTACTGGGGATTAAACCCAGGGGTGCTCTAACACTGAACTATATCCCTAGTCCTTTTTATTTTTAATTTTGAAACAGGGTCTTGCCAAGTTGCCCTGGCTGGGCTTGAACTTGTGATGCTCCTGTCTCTGTGTCCTGAGTTGCTGGGATCAAAGGCTTGTGCCACCCAGCTAGGCCTTGAAAACTATTTTAAAGGAAGTTCATCTGTTATTTCTGGTGCCTGGGGGTTGATTTGTAACAAATACAGCCTTGCTGGAGGGCCTGAGAATCTGCCTGAATGAATGGCTTGAAGATGCTTCAAATTAATCACTGAGATGTACCTAAGAGTCTCTCAAGTGTTCAGAGACCATTTTTCTTCTGGAGAGTGGGCTCCCATTTCAGTCTGGCTGATCCTCAATCTTCTTAGCCACTCCTTTGCTGTCCTGAATTATGGCAAGTTCCTTACGGGATTATCCTCAGTTCTAGATCTAGGGAGCTTGGATGAGGGGTAGGGGTTGGCTGGGTTTAACCACAAGTCTGCCAGCTGCTGAATTTTCTGGAAGGGGTTTTCTTGGGAGAATCACCACGGCGTTAACATCTACTTACTGCTGGCTGGGGAACCAGCATTGGCTTCAGCTTTTTGCATTCACTGGCTCAGAGAGGGTGACCTGGCTACTCCAAGCCCACGGTACTGTGGGGCAAAACAGGCACATCCACTACCAGCGTCCAGACTCTCAACCATTAAATGACATAGCTGCTTGTCCCTGTCCTCAGATGCATGGCCTGAGATCAGGGACAAAGAGGGCTCCAGGGGTAGTTGTTCTGCATGACCCTGATCCTTGTGTGGGGTGGGAGGATGTCACCCAGTCCAGGGGAGAGATCAGACCAGTCCCTACCTGGGTCCTGCCTGACCCCCTTGAGGCAGGTATTTCCCTGGGATTCCAGCCTAGAAACCTATGATTATCTCTTGCTGATACCCAGGAATTTCTCATCCCCTAGAGGTCCGAGGAAAACAGTTCAGCAGCCTGGGTTTCATTAGAATGTTCGAGATTCTATTGGTCTCTGTTCTAGGATCGTCTTCAACTCTTGGCTGACAGAGTGAGTGTGGCAGAATTGGGGGAAGTCCCCTGCTCCCAGCAAGTGCAGCCTGGAGGTCAGGCTGCTCTGGGGCCCCATATTGGACACTGAGGAGGCCGGGAACAGGGTCGGGTGGGGGCCAGAGAGAGGCCACGTTGGTTGAGATGGTGAAATTGAGGCCAGGGCAGCTCTCGCTGAGCTCCAGTCCCCAGTGGATCAAAGGGAAATGATGCCTCAAGGGACTTCGACCACTGGCCATTGCTCTTTCAAGAGGCATCTGTCCCCTCCCCACGAGGAGTCGATAGTCATCGATCCAGCTGGGAGCAGGGTCCAGCCACCACAGATGATGGACTCGCTGGACTCCCTCCTCCCAGAGCACAAGGGCTTCAGCCTCCTGTCCCTGTATGGAGGCTATCTGGACCCCACCGTGGCCACCCACTCCAAGGCCAGGTTCTCAGGCCCGATGCCCTGTCTAGCCTCCAGCTTGCTTGTTCTTTCCTTCTGCTGTACCCCAGCCTCCACTCGAGAAAATGCCACCCTCCAGGCCCCTCCGTCTTCTCCTAGTCCCACTCTGACACCCTGTGCTCTCCCCAGGGACTCACAGCTCCTCTGGCCAGCTCTGCTCCTGCACCCCGTGTCCACCCTCTGAGCATGCAGCAGGCCAGTGGGTCTCACCTGTGGGCAGTTTTGCCCCCACAGGGGATCTCTGGTGAGGTCTGAAGGTTCTCGTTGACATCTGTTCAGGGATCGCCAATGGTCTGGTACGTAGAGGCCGCAGTCTCTGGAACATTCTATAATGCAAAGACCAGCCTCCACACCAAAGAACTGCTCTGCCCCAAATGCCAGTCATGCTGAGGCTGAGGAGCCCAGGTCTCAGCCACTGGAGGACGTGGGGCTCCCCTTGTGACGCTGCCCCTGCAGAGTCCTCCCTGCTTTCTGCTCTCTCTGCTGCCCACAGCTCTGCTGCAGACTTCCTTCCTCTTCCCTGGGATCCCTGCCCTCTGGCCTCAGCCTTCGCTCCTGGTACCACCCCCTTCACACAGTCACTAGGAGGTGAGTGGAGGCACAGGGGCGAGGAGGCCTCACTCAACTCCTGCCCCATCTCTGACAAACTTCCCAGCAGGGGGTGTTGGTGCCTGCCTGCGAGCCCACCCTGTCTCAAAATTTAAAAATGAAAAAAAAAAAATCGGGGATGTAGCTCAGAGGTAGAGCATCACTGGGTTCAATCCCCAGTAATGGGGCGGTGGGGGGAAAGTGGTGGAAAAAACAAATAAAAAACCCTTCCTATTGCATAACCGGCCCTCCTTTTAGGGTTGGAGCTCATTTCTCTGCCTATGATCTTTCCGGCTCCTCCCAGGCCCTTGAACTGCTTTGTTTTTCCCAGTGGTCCTCCAACTTAACACCCATAAGCACCACAACCATGCTGTGCAAACGAAATTCAACACCACTCCCACTCCAACACAGATTTCTGGGCCCCCACTATGCAGAGGTGCACGTTCCACACGAGTGGGGCCGGGCGTGGTGGTGCACGTCTGTTACCCCAGAGACTCGGGAGGCTGAGGCAGAAGGATTGCAAATCAGAGGCCAGTCTCAGCAATTTAGCAAGGCCCTAAGCAACTTAGCAAGACCTTGTTTCAAAATGTAAAAAGGAGAACAAATAATAAAAATATAAAAAGGGCTGGGCCAGGTGTAGTGACACCCACTTGGAACCCCAGGGGCTCTGCAGGCTGAAACAGGAGGATCCGAAGTTGAAAGCCAGCCTCAGCAACTTAGCGAGACTCAAATTATAAAATAAAAAGGGCTGAGGATGTGGTCAGTGGTTAAGCGTCCCTGGATTAAGTCCCGAGTACCCAAACCAGACAATAACAACAACAACAAAATGAGTGTTGTGGGCTAGGATCCAGGAAGCGCCCTGTTCCCTCCCCTCAGCTGCCGCCAATGAAGGCTCAACAGCAGATTGAGAAAAGCTGACACTGATCTTTGCCATCTCCAGCCTTCCCGTCTTGATTTGTTCTTTACCCTTAGCATTTAACATGGAGTGACTGTGATCAAAGCGGGCGTCCCTAATCTTAAAATCTGAAATGCTCCAAAATCCAGAACTTTGGGAGTGCCAACCCAACACCACAAACCTGATGATTCGGTGCACACACACACAAGCACACGTTAAACACAAAATCATGTAAAATATTTGTGTAGGGCTAGGGATGTAGCTCAGTGGTAGACCGCGTGCCCAGCATGCAGAAGGCCCGGGGTTCCATCCCCAGCACTGCAAAAATAATGTAGACATTTATGTTCAGCCCATGTGTATAAGGTATATGGAACACAAATGTATTTCGTGTTTAGATGTGGGTCCCATCCCCCAGATAACTCATGATACATATGCAAATATTCCAAAATGTAACACACACACACAAAAAAAAAAATCAGAAATTTAAAACACTTCTGGTCCCATGCATTTCAGATAAGGAAGGCTCAATCTATAATTCATTATCTACTTTGAGGAGAGAAAGGGGAAGAGATTAGTAATGATAGGGGTCAATCAGGTGGGACCAGGATAGCTCAGGGCAAACTGGACGGTATGGACATGGTCATTTTTAGATACCTTAAATTCCTTCCATTCTCAACATCTCCCTCCTCATCAAAGAAGCTAAACATTACCACCACCACCAACAACAAAAACATTCCTTCCCCCCTCCCCAGTCCCCAAGTCCAGGAGGCCGGCCACGTGTTAAGTAGATGGTACTGGAAGAAGGACTGGAGGTACATACCCCTCCTGCAACCCCTCTGCTGACCTTTTGGCTAAACTTCTTGAAAGAATCATCTGAGTTCGCAATCTCCTGCAATGTGTCTCCACCATGCCATCATCCTGCCCTGGGGCCAGGTCACCTCCAGACTGCCAAGCACTGTGGACACTGGCCCTTTCTTCCCTCTGACTTCAAAGCCACACGTGACCTGCTGCTCACTCCCTTTCTGGACAGCTCTGCTCTAAACATTTCTGGGATGGGCTTTTTTTTTTTTTTTTTCTTGGCTACATCCTCTGGCTACCTCTCTGCCCTCTTCTTGGATTTCTTTGCCTCCGTCCTTCCTTTAATATTTTCTGTGAATGAATGAAGGAGTGAACTATGTCCTGGAGGTCAGGGAGAGAGGGAGGGCATGGGCTGCCTTCTCAAAGGGCCTAGTGGCTTCAGCAACGTTCTCCCCCTGCCTGGTACATCCAGTCAGGCAGCCCAGAAGGGCCCCATGCCCCTCTCCCCTCCAGAGAGTTCTCTACTCTCACCCACTGAGGCTCAGAAAATGAGGCTTTGGAGCTCTTGGGGACAGTCAGAAATTGACAAAGTGGAGAAGGAGAAAGGAGAAGCTGTGGCCTCCTGGGGGTCTTCATAGTTTGCAAAATGAATGAATGAGAAATGAGTAGAGCAAGACCAGAGGGCACAGCAGGGATGTGCTGTCAACACTGTGTCCCCAGGGCCCTTCCTGGCACTCTGTGTTTGTTCAGTATCTGAGTGTCTGTGGCTCCTAGGACAGAGTCAAACCTTCCTGAGATTGGGGGCTGTGCCCATCCTCTGCCTGATATCTGGCCAGCAATTGACACGTGGTGGGTGCCTCAAATATGGGTTGACTGTCCCTGGAAAAGACATTTTGGTGGCATCTAATAATGATGGACAGTGAAATGAGAAACTGGGGCTCAGGCAGTAGCAGCAGCTTCCAGGATTCCCAGGCCAACTCCTCCTGAGGCTGGGATCCGGTTTGCTTCCTTCTCAGCCCAGGCTCCAACCAGGGCCTGCAGTGGGTGGCTGGACATGGCAAGATACTCATACCCTTTAGGATCAAGGACAGGGCCAGCAACTCAGGAGGTCAGGGTAGGAGGATCACATGTTTAAGGTCAGTGTGGGCAATTTAGCAAGACCCTGTCTCAAGATAAAATTTAAGCTGGGCACGGTGGTGCATACCCCGAAATCCCAGTGGCTCAGGAGGCTGAGGCAGGCGGATTGCAAATTCAAAGCCAGCCTCAGCAAAAATGAGACCCTGTCTCTAAATAAAATACAAAATAGGGCTGGGGATGTGGCTCAGTGGTCTTGTGCCCCTGAGTTCAATCCCCAGTACAAAAAAAAAAGACTAGAGATGTGGCTCAGTGGTTAAGCATCTCTGGTTTCAATTCCTGGTACCAAAACAAACCAACCAACAAATAAACGAAGGGCTAGGAGTATAGCTTAGCGATAGAGCAATTGCCCAGCACGCGGGAGGCCCCGGATTCAATTTCTTTCTTTTTTTTATTTATTTATTTTTTTATTTTTTTATTGGTTGTTCAAAACATTATAAAGCTCTTGACATATCATATTTCATACATTAGATTCAAGTTGGTTATGAACTCCCAATTTTACCCCAAATACAGATTGCGGATTCAATTTCTAGCAACCCCTGCGTGCGCACTCATGTGCACATGTGCACGCATGCGCTTGCAAACTTACACGCACAAAGGAGGAGGAGAAAGCAAGGTTTAGGAACACAGCCGTCAGCCCTCCTGGGTGTCCCTGCTTGGTTGAGCCATGAGGTTGGGAAGGCACGTTGGAAAAAACTGTCCTCCCCTGTCTGGGAGAGGCTTCACATGCCTGCTGTGCTTCTCTCAGGACAAATGCCTCCTGTACCTCCAGGGACAGTTGTTTTTCCCCCAGAACTGGGCATTGAACCCAGGGGCACTTGACTACTGAGCCTCATTCCCAGCCCTATTTCGTATTTTATTTAGAGTCAGGGTCTCACTGAGTTGCTTAGCACGGGGATGCTTTGCCACTGCATTCCTAGCCTTTTAAATTTTTTTTTTTTTTAAAATTTGGGACAGGGGCTCACTAAGTGGCTTAGGACCTCATGAAGTTGCTGAGATTTGCCTCAAACTTGGAACCTCCTGCCTCAGCCTCCCAAGTCACTGTGATTATAGGTGTGTGCCACCATACCTGGTTCCAGGGACAATTCTAAGTCAGGGGGCATGTACTACAATAACTACCATAGTGACTGTTTAGGTCGAGTGCATTTCCTGAGTGCACTTTCTCTATGGAAGTGCCCTTCCTCTGGGGTCTGCTAGGTAGGCGGCAGGGTCCAGAAGCTCTGGCCCAGCAGTAGAACTGGGATTCTCCTGTGAAGAGGAGAGCCTAAAGCAGCTATCAGGAGAGAAGAAAGGGATTAAAAGTTCAAGAGTGTGTGGTCAGCTGTCCTCCACGTGCCCTGAGGGAGGGCATCTGGAAAGGAGCCCACAGGTGCCATCCCTGTCTGTGCAGGAAGATTTTCCTGCCAGGCTGATGGCATTTCCTGGGGACGCGCCACTGATGGTTGGAGGGGGTAGTAGGTGGCATTGTCCAGGGAGATGACAGGACACTGGCCAGAGATATGTAAAAAGGCCCCTAGGAGACTCTCAACCAGGGGAACTTCTACTAATTCAGGGGAGACTGGGGAGCTGCAGGGGCGGCGGGTCTCCTAGGACTCAGGAACATTCCATTTGGAACAGAAGAGACCCAGAGCCTCTGTCTTCACAGACTACATTCCAGGGGATTGTGAACTTGAGAGCAGGAGCCTTAGGTGGGTCTTTTGTCTTGGGATCTGCACCTCTCAGCTTCTGATTAGAGCTGTGTGGGGTAGTCTGGGCACAATGGCACATGCCTGCCATCCCATCCACTCAGGAGGGTGAGGCAGGAGGGTCACAAATTCTCAGCCTCAGCAACGTAGTGAGACCCTTCTCAAAAAAAAAAAAAAAAAAAAAGGGCTGGAGTGTGGCTTAGTGGTAGAGCATCCTGGTTTTAATTCCCAGTACAAAACAGAACAAAACAAACAAGTGAAACCCCAAAAGCATAAAACAAAACAAAACAAACCACCTGTATGGAGCCAGAGTTCTCTGAACATTTGCAAATGCAGATGGGGAAACCCCTCAGAGGCTGTGTTGACCAAGAACTCATGGGTGGACCAGAGACAACGGAGGGCCCTCTGTCAGAAGGTCCACAGACACATTTGTGGTCTTGGTGTGTAGCTAGGGTCTGGGATGTGGGGTTGGTTTGGGGGGTGACTAGGCAGCACTTCTCTAGGGAGTGACCAGTTTTTTCCGTGATGGGCTGCTGGGCAAAGGGGGCTGGCAAACAAGTTACCACTACCTCTGAGAGGTTCTGGAGGTCGGACCCTGGCCACCCCCCTGGGCCCTCCAGCACTGAGAGCCTCCCTCCCACCCGTCCAGGGGTCCTCTTGCCTTCAACTGGGTGGCGGTGGTTCCACCCAGAGCTGTCAGCCATCTTCCCAGCCTTCCCTTCACCTGTCCCTCAGGCAAAAGCACTGGCCTCCGCTCTCCCTCCACAGAGGAGGCTCACGGAGTGTCAAGATCACGTGGTCGGGACAAGGCCAGGCCTCCTGATATCTGTCCTAGAATATGGTTGGCAGCTTGGTTCCCTTGAACACCAATCTCCCTTCTGTGTGTGAGCCCAGCCCCACGGCTTTTCTTGTCCACACGCATAGAAGGAAGGTCCCCAGCTGGGATGTGGGAGGGTCACACCCTTGCAGGCCTTCTTCCCCACCCAGCATGGCTTGAAACCCAGGGGCTTTGGGTTAGGAAAACCATCTACTGTCCTGCAGTGACCCTGCCATGTTTTCCTGGTGGAGCAGGGTGGCTTAGAGGCTAAGAAAGTCCATGTTCAAGACTGGGGAGGTAGCTCAGTAGCAGAGCACTTACCTTAGCCTGTGCAAGGCCCTGAGATCAATTCCCAGCACAGCAAAACAAAACAAAGAAACTCAAGGTTAAGAAACAGTTGGGGGCTGGGCATGGTGGTGATTGTCCCTTGTCCCAGCTAGGAGAATCACTGGAGGCCACGATTTTGAGAACAAAAGACACAATTGGAGGAGGGGCAGCGGGGACTGGAAGGCTCCCTCATGCTCTCTGATGGAGGAGTTTCTTGGGGGATCCATAGGCTAGGTAGGAGATGTCCTCCCTAAGGGTTAGGAAGGGAAACAGGGAGGGGTCAGGGAGCTGCCTTCCAGACGCCCTCCATTACCAAGCCTGGACTAAAGCAAAACCCAGAGGGCAATCGGTCTAGCTGGTGCCCCTCTTGCCCTGGTCAGAAGACTTGGCCTTGGTGGCAGTAAGGTACTGTAGGAAGCGTCAAGTTCGTGCTTACTCGTGCACTGGTGGGGCTGCCATCATAGATGAAGGACACGGTGGAATGGGTTATCAGGCCATTGTACTTAGAGTGCCCGATCCGGGGCTTGGCACCCGGGGGCAGTTACCTTGTAGCCGCCACCTGTTGTTAGGCAGGTAGGTTGGAAAGATATTTAGGCTGAACAGTTATTGCAAAGCGCGGGGATTCCTGATCTGAAGCTCATTGATCTAAACAGTTTCCTTGAGGACTCAGAAGGCTGCAGAGGTGATAAGGGTAGAAACTTGCTCAGGACTGTACCTCCGGGCCCTCAAGGCCACCAGCATCCCCAAGGGCTGCTCGTCCAGCCCCGCCCCGGCCCCGCCCCCGGCCGCGCCCCGCCCCGCCCTCGCACCTCCTGGCACTGACTCTGCTGTGTGTCCGCAGGCTGCTGAACAGGATGTCCGCAGACGACCGGCACCTGGGCTCCAGCTGTGGCTCCTTCATCAAGACAGAGCCGTCCAGCCCGTCCTCGGGCATTGATGCCCTCAGCCACCACAGCCCCAGCGGCTCGTCGGACGCTAGCGGTGGCTTTGGCCTGGCCCTGGGCACCCACGCCAATGGTCTGGACTCGCCTCCCATGTTCGCAGGTGCGGGCCTGGGAGGCACCCCGTGTCGCAAGAGCTACGAGGACTGTGCCAGCGGCATCATGGAGGACTCGGCCATCAAGTGCGAGTACATGCTCAACGCCATCCCCAAGCGCCTGTGCCTCGTGTGCGGGGACATTGCCTCTGGCTACCAC